CCCCGGAAAAAAAAAAAAAAAAAAAAAAAAAGGGAAACCCAATGAAAAATAATATAGTATAGTGTTGCCGAAATTCAATAATGTGAAAAAAATGTTATGTAAGTATGTATTTATTGCCAGAGCTTCATTTTTCCTAAAGTGCATTTGTGCGCTATAAGTTTCCACTTGCTTCTTTTGCCAAGAAACACTGAGGTGAAGTAAGTACACTTTAAGCAGCAGTTCATAAGTTAATGTGTTTTTGTTATTGTTAAAACTATTAGTAAAAAGCTTCCCTTTCTATTTTGAAGCTCACTGGATCCATGTGTGAAGTGAAGGTGCTATGGTTTCAATATGGCTTGAATGCGTCCTCAAGGACTCCTGTGCTGAGATTTAATTCCCTTTGTGAGGAGCTAAGGTGAGGGCTGGCGTATGGCTCAGAGAGAGCTTGCCTAGTGTGCATGGGTTTAATCCCCACTACTGGGGAAAAAGTTATTCTCAAACCCACCACCAACCACTAGGCTTTCACCTTCTGTAAGGTTCAGAATACACACCTATACACACATACATACACATGTCTATGTGCATATACATAGGAATACATTTATATATGTGTATGTGTGTGTAATATACATATGTATGTATGTGGTACTTGGGATTGATCCCAGGCCTTCAGAGTGAATTAACTTCCCAGTGTTTTTATTGTTGTTGTTGTTGTTGTTGTTTTGGGGTTTTTTTTGGTACCAGGGATCCAATTCTGGTACTTAAGTTTGCAAGGCAGGCACCAAAACTACTGGACTAAATTCCCGGCCCCTCAGCCCTTTATTTTTAATTTTGACACAGGGTCTTGCTAAATCATTGAATTGCCTAGGGTGGACTTGAGCTTTCTAACCTTCTTTCTCAGCTTCTCAGAGTAATAGGATTTATAGGTTTTCATTAACCGTTTTAAAACCCATTCTCCACAGATTGGGAAATGTCCAATTATTCAATTTTTAGAGATTTAATTCCTCTTTAAGCACAGTTTGGGAATCATTGATTTGAAAAGTGAGAACACTGATTCTTTATGCTAGGCATGGTGGCACATGCCTGCAATCCCAGCACTCAGGAGGCTGAGGCAGGAAGACTGAAGTGAGTTCAAGGTCAGCCTGGGATACACAGTAAATTAAAGGTCAACTTGAACTGTATAGTGTGACCCTATCTCAAAAAAACTCCACAAGGGCCAAGGATTTTAACTCAGTGGTTCCACCGTCTGCCTCACAAGTAAGGACCCGAGTTCAATCCCTGGTACAAAAACAAAAAAAAAAAAAACAAAAATACTGATTCTTTAACTCCACAATTTATGAAAGTTTACTTCAAAAAAAAGTTAAGTTTAATTCACTTACTCAAAGATTATGTTTATGTTTATTTCTCTTACTCTTTTCATAGTAAAATGTAGAAGACACATATCCTATTATCCAGAAATTACTTCAGTCAGAAAAGAGTTACAAATAAAAAAAAAAAAAAAAAAAAAAAAAAAAAAAAAAATCTCTGGATTTTTAAAATATTTTTAAAAATAGTTTTATTATGAAAAACTTTAAGCATGCTCAAAGTACATACTTTAATACAATGAATCTTCATACACTCAGAATCCAATGTGGATTCTGATTATCAAAATCACCACATATCTGTTTCCTAAAACTATTTATGCTATAGGTGCTTTCAATTTTTCCAACACATATTGCAACAGGGATGGAAAAAAATAAAATTTTTCCTCCAGTACCAGGGATCAAACTCAGAACCTTGCACTTGGGAGGCAGGCATGGCACCACTGAGCTAAATCCCAGCCCTGGAAAATTACTTCTAGTCTGATTTCAAAACTTATGGGATAGTACACTTCTTACAATCATCAGTCGAGAACTTTTATTCTGAGTTAACCCACTGGAAAAAAGACTTTCAGAAAAAAAGGCTGTTGGGCAAGACTTGGAAAAGGGAAAGTTGTAGAGCGAAAAAAGAAAGTACAATCTTATGATAAAGAAGTAAAAAGACAATGTTGCTAACTGGTCTTTGTGAAGAACAGAAAACATAAGGCCAGCTTTGCACAAATACAAATATTGATGATTATCACAGTGAAAAATTTATAACATAAAATATCTATGAATCTGCAACCAGATATGTTGGCACATGCTTGTACTTGTAGCAACGAGGGAGGGAGGCAATGGCAGGAGGGTCACAAACTCAAGTCCCAGCTGGGCAGGTTAGCAAAACAGTCTTAAAATGAAAAAGGGCTGAGTATGTAGTTCAATAGTACAAAGCCTCTGGGTTTGATCCCCAGTACCACAAAAACAAAAGAAAAGAAAAGAAGGAATTTGCTTCATTTCCAATAGATTTCTTCTTGATGTGTCTTCCAAATAATATGTTTAAATATATCATACAGCCAGGTGAGGAGGTACATGCCTATAATCCCAGAATTTAGGAAGGAAGAATCACTGCAAGTTTGAGGCCAGCCTGCCCTACAAAGCAAAAACCCTGTCTTAAAAATAAATAAATTATATATATATATATATGTATGTATATACATACACACATACGTACATACACACACACACACCGAGATAAGTGTGGCAGTGCACACCTGTAATCTCCAGCCTCAGAGGCAGAGGTAGGAGGATCATCATAAGTTTGAGGCCAGCACAGCCTGGAGAGTGAGTTTGAAGCAAGCTTCAACTATATAGCAGAACTCCATCTCAAAAAAGAAAAAAAATCTTTTCACTAGAAATAAAGATGAAAAGATGGCTTCTGGTTTCTCTAGGAGAATCCAAAAAGTGAAATTTCCCCCATACTTCCACTACTTCAGAATCTGGCAGCACCTTTTCTTAAGACGTCTAAGGTTAATGATGTCATCCATACTACACCCTTGTTATCACTGGGTCAATATTACCTAACCAACTACACTTGTAATCTTATTGGTTGATTATAGTTTTTACCCATGTTGTACCTACCTCTCATGGCTTTGCTCTATAAAACTTCCCTTGAGAAGCTGGCTCATTGGCAACCCATTTGGGAACCCTCCTATCTCTCAGAAGCTGTTCTTATTCCACATTCCTATTCCCCAATATATTTTTCTACTCCTAAAAAAACAATGTCCTATTGGTACCTTAAAAATTAAATCTGGGGCTGGGGATTTAGCTCAGTGGTTCAGCTGCCTGCCTCACAAGTGCAAGGACCCAAGTTCGATCTCCAGTACCAAAAGTAAGTAAATAAACCTGACCCCAAATAATTCATTCTCTTCATCACCTTATCTGTGTTCTCTCTCATTACCTTTCCTGAGTTGCAACATTAGCATCCATCGAATCCAGCTCCCCAAGTTAAAAATGTGGGAACAATTTTTAACTCCTGTGTTGGGGATCAGGCTATGTGAGGAATTACTGGGGGCCAAATTTTGTGACAGTCCCAAAGCCAATGTAACCTGCCTTGGGATTCAGAAAGGTACACAAAAGGCTGAGTGCTTTCTGGCTGTGTGGGGAATGCTCATAATCACAGTACTCCCGTGGCAAGATAACATCTGCTGAAGACAATGTGAAGAATGCTAGTTCCTTATTAACTTGGGTAGGCATCTAGGTATAAGGAAGAACCTGTTCCCTTCTCACATACTTCCCTTGTAAAGTTTAACCTGTTTGCTATTTTTCAAAATATATTTTCAACCGTTTTCGTTGCACAAATGACACACAGTCCCTTCCTCCTCGCTTTTCTCACTTAACAATAAAAATGGGTCAACTGCAGCGATTGTTGGGTCTGTCCACTAGAGGCAGGCTTCTCCTGGTCCCCTTGCACCTTGAATATTGTCTCTGTTTTTCTTTACCCTCCATAGTTCCCCTCTCACAGGTATCTGAGCGTATGTATGATCAGGCCCCAGCACACCTGCTCTGAGCTCCTGTCTCAATCAGCACCATCTGTCCAGATGACCTCCCAAAACCACTACCCTGCCACTGCCACCTGTAATGGAGCAGAGCCCAGTGCGGGTGCCACCAGGAACCTGTGGGCAAGAGGCCTTTACAGCAGGAGCTGATGACCCTCAAGATGTCTGATGATAAAGGAATTTCTGCCTTCCCTCGGGCCAGGGATTTAGCTCAGTGGTTCCACCACCTGCCTCACAAGCACAAGGTCCCATGTTTGATCCCCGGTATCCATAAATAAACAAACAAATAGGTAGAGACCATCACAGAGCAGTTGGCACAGTATATGTAAGACCTGAGATATAAGCTCTCCCCAGTGGCTACCTTTACAACATGCCCATAGTGAAGTTCCTCACTCCGTGCTACCATCCCAATGTGGACACCCTGGGTAACATCTTCCTGGATATCCTCAGGGACAAGTGGTCTGCCTTGTATGATGTCAGGGGCCATCCTGCTATTCATCCAGAGCTTGATAGGAGAACCCAACATCAACTGTCCTTTTAACACACATGCTGCCAAGCTCTAGAAAAACCCCACAGCTTTTAAATAGTACTTGCAAAAAACCTACTCAAAGCAAGTATCCAGCCAAGAGCCCTGACTCAGGCTGTACAGCCTCTCCTTGTGGTGAGCCTCTCCTTATTACTTCTTTAGTCTGTGCTTTTTCTTTCTTTCTCTTTTTTTGGTACTGTGTCTGTTTCTTGATTTCAGTGTAGGACACTGGATCTTGAGCTGTAGTGTTGTTATTGTTTTGTTTTTTAAATTAAGTCTCTGGTTGAGCCCTTGCTATGTACATTAAATAAACACATTTTGGTTGCTTTTTGTAAAAAAAAAAAAAAAAAAAATTAACTCTCACTCCCATACTTAAAATAGATTTACCTATAGATTTTAACTCCTACCCCTCAAACCTGTTCTTTCTGCTCACTGTCAGCGTCTTCAGATCTTTATCATCTCCTGCTATGACTCCTGCAAGAGGTCTTCTCACAAGGATCTTTCTCTCTAGCTCATCACTAGATTATCTTAACATGCACATGAACCACATCACTCCCTCCTTAAAAGTCCTCCACTGAAATCAAAATTTTCAAGCAGACAAGGCTCTGCTCTGATTTTAGCTCTCACTTGTCACCATCCAGTCTAGCCCCAGTGAGATGCTTAAGCATATTTCAATCTACTACTCTTTCATACTCCTAATGCCTTTTTTTAACCTATGATGCTTTTCCTACTCCTCTCTCCACCCACCTTTATTAATAGCTTTAAAGGATTCATGACTTGAACATGACTATGGAATGTCACATATTTCTACATTTCATTACAACTTCAAGATATTATATATGTAATTACCAACCAACAATTAATTACTCATTAATTGCAGATTCTCCAAAGATTGTGAGGCAGGGGTTTCATCTCATTTATCCAGCATAACATCTAGGCCACAAAGCATCCATGCCCCTGTACTTGGGATTGAATCCAGGGCCTTTTACTGAGCTACATTCCTAGTGCTTTTTATTTTTAGACACTGGTCAGGCTAAGTTGCCCAAACTTATGATTCTCTTGCCTTGGCCTCACCAATTGTGCCACCACACCTGGTTAGAACACTCATAATACAAATCTTCTTTAAGAATCCACAAATAGTTGGGCGTGGTGGCTCACACCTGTAATCCCAGCACTCAGGAGGCTGAGGCAGGATCGCTGTGAGTTGGAGACCAGCCTGGGCTACATAGTGAGTTCCAGGTCAGTCTCAACTACATAGTGAAACCCTGTCCCAAAAAACCAAAAAATAAAAATAAAAAATCAACAAATAAATGCTGAGGATGTAGCTCAGCGTTAAAACACTTGCCTAGCATGTTCAAGACCCTGGTTTCAATCCTCAGCACCAATAAATAATCAAATAAGCCAATGAATGAATGAGAACTCCCACTTATATAAGTCACTCCAGGAGAATGGAGCCCTTTGTTTCATTCACGCTCACATCCTCAGCTCCTAAAACCAGCTGATACACTAAATGGCTTCTCAATTAATTTAAATTGTTTTATAATTATCGTTAACACCTGCAAATTTTGCTTTGCCTTCAAACCTTATAGGGTCTGTCCTTAAACTGTACTGATAATTAGGAATGGGAAAAGAGGGAGCAGAGTCTCAAACTTGCACAGGTCTGTCCAGTGGACCGAAGCGCCAGCAAGATTAAAATACTGTCAAACTTGGATCTCCAGTAACCCCTGTTGTAAATCATGATACGTACAACGGTAAAAGAAATCTGTGACCTTCTCGACAAAGGTATGGACGCATACAATAAACAAATCCAACAGTCAGAGATGAAAGAGAAAAGGATGAAAGGCAAAGTATGAAAGAAGCCAGCCTAGAAGTTCTAGAGTCTGGGACACCCAGAAGTGAACCAGTTTTGTCTACACCTCGGGAGGCGTTGGGTGGCGATGGGACGGGGCTGAAGGAAAGCACTGAAAGGAAACCAGAAGGGTCACAGCAAAAGGACAAGGTGTGGGCCGGCACTCACCACCTCCCCCTGCTCCGCAGATTTGTACACTCCTGACACCATCTCGTTATGAAGTAGCAAAAACAACGCCTCGTCCGCCATTTCCGCCTATTCTTCCGAGCTCCGGGTTTCAGCTCGCTTTTGGGCCGGGCCGGGCGGTTTCGGCTAGAGCCGCAGCTGCGAGGCTGACACCGCACTCCTCAGACTGCGGCTCTGTCCCCCGGTGCTAGGAAACCGAAAATTGCCCTGGACCCCTCCCAAAGGCCGCAACCGAGTAAACCCAGTACCGGGGAGAAAGCACCCTGGGGGAACCCAGTAGGAAGGCCCAGACCAGAAGAGGAAGGGTCTAAAAGCTGCGCGGACTAAACCCCGACGGCGGAGACCCAATCCGGCCCCGGGGCGGGGGGCGAAGAACCCACTTCCGGTCCCTCTACGCCGGCATCTGCCAGCTCTATGGTCGCAGAGTTCCGCTTCCAGGCTCGGGGATCCCTGCCGCTCTAGGGGGCGGTAGGCGCGGACCGGAAGGTTTAAGGAGTGCGGGCTGCGGTCTCAGTTAACTGCCGGTAAGAC